TTAGCATGTATATAGAACTGTACTTCAAGCACAATATGCTAGCACAACGTAGTATTTTTGTTGGTCAATGTTTTGTATATCCACTCCAGCTTTCCATTTCTGAACTTAAGTTGTTCAGGCTCTACCTCTGCTAAGATCACATGTCCCAGGCAATGCTAAGATGTACAGTATAAAGAGACAACTAGTTTGTCATGGTACAACATAGGAAGATCAATTAAAATAGCTATCCTGAAGGCAAAGGAAGACCATGGGACAAGCTGGATTCTCATCTCATTTGCTGAAGACAGCTTATATGGGGGATTATATCTGCATTGTTTTAAAGCTTATGTTAATACCTTTGTAAGTTCAGGAATAAAACCACAGAAAAATGTGTATATGGGAGCATCCTTTGTTGTAGGACTTTTCTTTAGGAGCTTCAACGCATACCCCACAATTTCAGCTTCAGCCAGGACAAGAATATGTTAGTAACTAAAAAAGAACTGCAAGATATTTTGAATATGCAGCAAAAGATAGGTATGTGTGTGCAACTAATCAGTAGCTGTACAGAACCTTCCTCTGTGGGGTCTAAGTGGACAGGTACATTTGAGGTACATTTGCAGGAACAACGCATAAGGCTTGTTAGGAGATAGAGGGCTGTTCTGGGAAGCAGCAACACACAAACACACATCATATATGGCTGTTAGAGCAGACAAGAGCCCAGTGTGAATGCTGAGTGCCTTCCTAAAGCCAAGAGAGCACCTGATCCTTAGGTATACAAGCAAGGAGATACAGAAGAGAGAGATCAGTCTACCCCTGTATTCACACAATTCCTGAAAAAGCAGTTTTCCTCATCCTCATCCAACCATAATGGTCAGGGGGAGGAGGGAAGAGAGGCACATGAAGTAAAATGCTCCTTAGAAGACCTACATGACGTATCTTGAGGGGCATCCACAAAGCACTGCGATACCTGTGTCACCTCTGAACAGGATAATGCGGTCCTGGAAACAGTACAACTGTTACAGTGTAAACACCCTCATTAAGCTACCACCTGATCACATTTTATGACGAGAGCAAAGCTTTGATAGCACTCTCTGAAGAAGAGCACACAAGAAGAAAATAGATGATTATTAAACACATGTAACACCCATGGGCCCCGGTCATAAACCGTATAGGATGAGCTAATATTACACATGAAAGTAAAAAGGACTATTTCCCACTTGGAAATTTAAGCACAAGAGAAGATAGAAGGATAGAGACATTCTGACAGTGATACAAAAAAAGCCAGACTGTTTGGGTTGCGTGGCAGGCAATGGCCTCAGTCCTCTGGAAGCTGACTGTCATCCAGCCTTTTATGGGAAAGAAAGACTTTTGACAAGGGTCAGAGAATGGTACTACATAATCATCCGTTTTGAAAATGATGAAGGCAGTTTCCTCCAGGCTTAAGTAATGGCACAGAAGGAGGTCTAAAGCTTCTATTTTGAAAACATAACAAGGCAAGAGAATAAGCTTATGCTGTAGGAGACAGATGTAAACTCTGAAGGGCTTTGGAAGTGAAAACAGAGATGACAGAAATCTGGAAGCCAACAGAGCTGAAGAGGGAGGCATACACAGCAAGGAGATTGTTATGATCAGATTGGCTCTTTCTTCTAACGTACACAGCTTTTAGAAACGAAAGTTTTGCTTGTGTAAAAATCGTAACTCAGAAACACACAGACTGCAACCCATAAATAGATTTCGGCCTGCCAGGAACAATTCGCCTGTCATATTCATCACGGTGGCCTTAAGATGTGGCTAAAGAGCACGCGGGATGAACTGTACAGATCGCAGAGAGTCTACACTTCTCCTTCCCTCTTCTTGAGAGATCTGTGACTGCCCCTTTCCAATGGTGGAAGATTTGTCATGTGCTAAAATATATGCTTCTCAGCAGTGTTGGTCTGATGTCCAACATGCATTAGAGAGTCCTGGGAGCTGTACTTTTCTTGCTCTTATTGCTGATAGATCTTCTGGAAAACAAATGATTTCTCTATCCAAGCTGGAATAACATCCTTCTTCCTCCTTTCTCTCATTTGCCTACGCTCATTTCCTGTGCCTGATACTGTGTGGTAACATGGAAAATTAAGACATTTCTTCTTTCCTCCTAATACATAATAGAAATGTTAATGAGTTAACATTGAATAATAATATTCCAATCTGGTGTCTGCTCATGCACTTCTCTATTTAATTTGTTTGGGCAAAATTTGACAAAGATCAGCAGAAATTCATGCACTGCAAAGTTGCACTGCAAAATATTTAAATTGCCAGGAATCACAAGACCTTGGAAAGCCTCGAAAAGATTCAGGGGAATTTCAGTCACAAGGTAATGACAAAGTCTTCTTGGGTGAGTCCCACTTTGCAGCTAGAGCAGCGCCAGATGCGACCGTAAAAGCGATGTGACAACTGTGTGCACTTTCCTGGTCTCTAGAGCAACCCCTCTAGACCACTGCTCCCCTCTCCCAACCTGGCACATGAACAGAGCAGAAAGCTGCTTGCTTCTTTTTTGGATCTGTATTCTGTCGGCTGGATTCACTAGGCCAATTACTAGAGCAAAAACAAGGAAAACTGCAGGAAAGGGAGTCAGAAGGGAGACCAGGCCACCTTTCAGTAAGCGCAAGCTCCTAGACTGTCTCAGATACATCGTCAAATAATATCTCAAGCAATGAAGTGTAAAACATCTTTTTTTCTTCATCTTTTGCCTTGGTGAAAAGCAGGGGGTGGTTTACTAACTGAAATAGTTAAATTCTAGGTCCAAACTTACTAATTCCTAACATATTCAGAAAGCCAAACATAACCGTACAGGCTTTGTACAGCCAAGCAAAATTGCAGAATTGTTACAGATTGTGTAAGCACACTCTACATTTATCATCAATTTTTATAAATAATTGGCTTAATTAGAGAATACAATTAGGACTAAGGGAATAATGATGGTCTTGCAGGACAACAGCATAATCTCTCACTGTCAACAGACCCAGAACATGTGCCTGACTGAATAATATTAGGGCGGCTACAGATCTCAAAATCGATTTGAGTAAGTCCATCCATGAAAATATCTCATTCAGATCTCACAGTAAATCACAGTTTCATAATTTAGCTCAGAACACATGAAAACTGTAATAAACAATTTATTGCTTTTATACTCGTGAAATTCACCATCAAGAACTAGAAACTCAAAACCTAAATTTGGAAAGCATCAGTTGTTATGCAGTGATCTCTTTTTTAATATTTCTTGTATATTAACCAGACTACACTGATGTTTTGCACATGTTCAGAAGAAGCTATGGTTTAAACATAACTGCCTGCTGTTATTTTAAACTATCAAGAGCAATGCCAGCACTTCATCCAGCAAATCTGATGATACACTCCATGTTCCAATTGGGCTGTCAGAGAATAAAAACACGTCTTTAATTTTCCACGATAATTCTCCCATCCTGACCTTACGAACATTTTATTTCAAAAGACTCAAGGCCTTTCAACCTCCATCTTTTAACAGTGTCTTCCATTTCCTTTTTTAGAAAGGGCAATACAGTCTATAAAACCATCTTAAAAATCAAGAAATCAGCACAGTTCCTTTTCTTGAATATGTTCTTTTGGTAAATTTAGTCTTTCCCTCAGTACATTGGTTATATCCCAGAAGGAAAGGGCTAGAAGGGTTCTCAAGGAATCCCCTAGATCCAGGGAGCATCAAACACTTCCTATTTCTGATTAGTCTCACTGCTCTAACCAGTCCTTAAAGATCTACCAGTACAGAAATTAAGAAAGATTTGAATCCACATCTCACAATGATGCTTTTCACAAGGCTATAAGGAAGTTGATATAACAACTCTTTCTCACTATTATTAACCAGTTTCAAACAAATAAAAACACACAGATTTGAGGTACTTCCATAGTAGCACAGAAACACAGACAATATCAGGTCTGTACGTCTTGTCTGCTGCTTCATTTACTGTAGCAGCTAATATCTTAAATCTAACTAAAGCTTCTCTCCTCTACAAACTATACTTACTTTTCCAAATGTGAGCTGCAAGAAAAAAAATGGCAAGAAAATAATGCAGACAACTACAATTTTATGGATGGCATTTTCCAGAGAAACAATACAGCATAATGATAACAAGCAGTATGGATTTCTTCCTAATTGGGACAGTAATTTTGATGAAACAGGATACCTACATGTGATTAAATGACACTAACGCCCAACTTTTGGACCTAGTGACTATTGGAAATAACCATTCTTTCTTCTTTTTATTTGATGTTATTTCCTAACACTGGTTCAGCAAAGCAAATTATTTTAATGATTCTTTTAGCTTGATATTTAAGCTATGTCCATAACTTAAAAGTTAATAAATCCATGATGCAGATTCCTCTGTGAATTCTGCACTTGGAACAGAGCCCAAAGTCAGCATCACCCCGTTTCATTTCCAGCGCTATAAATTAAAAATACCTCTCAATTTTTTAACTCCCACACTAGGTAACATGAAACAATACAGCAGTAGGTCAGCACTACAGAATACACTGTGTGAGATGGTATCAAGTTTTAGGTGCCGATGCCATGACAGCATAATCCATGCTGACTTTATCTGTCACCCTACCCTCTTCTCCTAAGCCTGGCCTAGCTCTGAGCTGCACCACAGGATCCTGTCGTGCCTCCCACCTTTCTCTTCCCAAAGGGTCGGCAGCGTTTCTACTCTACTGGTAGAAAGAGGGAGATATTGCAGATGCCTTCTAAGAAACATTCCTTTTTCTAGTCCAACACCTGAGGCAATTTTTGGCAATGATATTGTTAAGCATCAAAATGATACCGTCCCTCCAGGGTGCCAAAACAAAGCAAATCACAGTAGGGTTCATGAAAATAATTTACAATGTTTGAATCCTATTCGTGGATGAGAAAATGCTCGATGAAAGAGAAAAGTACAGATTTTTAAGCCTTATTTTTATAAACAACTCAAGTCTCTTTTTTTTTTTTTTTTTAAAAAAAAAAAGCTGTATTTTCATAAAACATCTTTTGTTGCCATTCTGCAAACAATGCTATCCAATAAGGTGCCGATTTTCTCTTCCTGTGGAGTAATTTTGTATATCTGCAGAACAAAAGAACAAGAAAAACAAACTCTGTGAAGAAAAATAGTATCACATGCATTAAAAATATATACGTTTTTCTCATTATAGAGGTATGTATTAGAAATGTATCATTTCCCTTACAGCAAGTTTGCCATCGTATTAAAAAAATACAAACTCCAAATGAGTTATGACAGTTGAGATTTAATCAGACTATGAAATAAAGTGTCCCTTTTTTCAACCACAATTATTTCTCTTGCTTACATACCTTTTTAACTTTTTCAATGTCTGTCAGCTGGGGGAGTTCATCTAGAGAAACCTGCTGGCCTTCTACTTGAGATGCTACCTCTTCCAGGTTAACAGGTTTTTCTGTGTCCACAATCAGAACAATGAGTACTGCTGTGTCGCTGTCTGAAATGCCAAATTTCTTCAAAGCATCTGAAATCTAAGAAAAGATGAAAACAATATTTAACTTTTTTTTTATTCTAAATGTAAGGAAATTTTTCAATTACATAATGAGCATAAATAAGCATAAAATACACACTGATAAGTTTTACTTTAATAAAATTCTGATGATCTACATGAGACAATTTATTTCTTACATTAACTTCTATTAGTAGTTTGGACATTTTATTCCACATAGATCAAAACGTTTGCTAAGAAATTTTAGTTTCTTATTTTAGCTTCTTTAGTTTCTGTTCTTTGCATGATTGTTATGGGTAATTTCTTAAGTATTAATAAAAGCCTATTTAATATCTCTAATATTAGAATAAGAGTATTATTTCTCAATGTTGCTACTAAGACTTTAATTTCACACCGTGTCTAATGTTCAGAGCACTGTGGTCAAACGAATAGCCTCTTTTTTGGCATGCCAGTTGTGAGAGGACTTACAAGCAACCTATCATTTTTATCTTATTTAAAAGAAAAAAATATTACAGGCTTCCACACTTAAAATATAAAGAAACAGAAAAGCAAACTACCTAGAACTGGTCGAGAATGATTATTATGAAATTCTCAAGGATGAGAAATAAGAACAGAAGCTCTGGGAATTCTGTCTGCATGACAGTAGGACTAGGGAAATACAACTTCGTGTGCTTACTTCAGAGACGTTTCTAGTGAATTCGATCAGAGAATGATGTGCTAAGGCCAGGCAAATTATTTGTCTGGCTGCACGGAGCTCAGCAAGCTCGTCTGGCAAAGCCAGTAGCTGTTCCGCAAATCTTACATTATTGTTTGGTGAAAGGTTGAAAATAATTTCTGTGTAGAGAGTTCTGGTCTTCATTTTCCCAATCTTGTGCAGATGAACGGCCTTGTTGGCTGCCACGAGAACCTGAAAAGGGTCCACGATCTGCAAGACACAAGCGGGGAGGGGACGCGGGGGAGTCGCCCGGGGTCCCGGCGGGCGGGCGCGCGGCTGCCCGCGGCCCT